AATCAAAAAGCTGTACAAAATATAATCGCAGTATATACTAGAAGGGAAGCTTATAAATATTTTCATGGATCCTTGAAGTTTTATATATAGCTTGTTTGAACATATATATATATATATTTATATATTTTTTATATTGTTCTTTTTTTTTTTCTTTTTTTTTTTACTGCATTTTCAATTTTTTTTTTGATTTTCGTCAAAAGGGGAAGAAAAATAAGAGGGAGGAGGGAAAAGCGCTATGTCGAAAATGATTGAAACAATACTAAATGAAATAATTTACAAAAAAAAAAATATATAATGAGAAATTCTTTGATGAGTTTATAAAAAAAAATGATGATTAAAAATTATTATTATTTGTGAGTGTGGTTTTTTTTTTTTTTTTTTTCCTCCAGTTCATGAAAAGATGTGAAAAGAACAATTTAAAATAATAATAATAATAATAATAATAATAATTAATAATAAATGATAATAATTTAATAACAATTATTATTATTTATTATTTATGATTATTATTATTTATCAAAGTCGATCGTCAAAGACAATAGCATCCGCTTTTGAAATGCTCTTGTTATTCGGATGGTTCTTTTCATGCAAAGGAGTGAGGATGGTAAGGTCGAAACGAATTTGATGGGTCATCATTCAAGAGAAATCTGACCGACATTTTTTCCGATGAACCTTCGGACGTGGATTTTTTTCTCGGTTTGGTCTTTGTTGGACGTCTCGGGCAATAAACGTAATTAGGATATAACTTCATGTGCTGCTCTTTTTCGAATCTAGCTTTTTCTGCGTAAATCTGCTTTACATTCTGGGGTTCGTTGGCCCACTGGTCAGCAGCAGATTTTGAAATCCTAGAAAGTTCAGAAAGAAGGATGTTTGGATTTTGTTCTTTGATCTTCTTTTGAAACTCTCGACGATATATCATAAACGAATTTAGAGGGCGTGGAGGAGTATCTCGATTTCTACGGCGCTTTGTAGCTCTTTGAGAAAGAGGCGGTGTCATCAT